TTAGGTCATCATCAGGCATTGTCTTTCATTTCAGTGTCATTGCTGAAATGCTAAAACCTAATTTTCAAGAGAATATTGTTGAGAAGATGAGATTGTATCAAAGCAGAAGCATTTCACATAAGTCTCATGAATATTGTCTTGCTTTATAAATGTGGTCTTTTTCGTATTCATGAAGGAAACACTGTCTTTCATATCTGGCTCACCATTCACACGTCTTAGTCCTCAACTGTGGCATGCAAATGTGCTATGCAATAGAATAGCTACATTTTAAAAAGTTACCTTCAGTCCCTTTTTACAATGTTCTTAGGCCAGCTTTTTGGTAGATTTTGGGTTGTTTTGTTTTGTTTTTTTCTTTTTTTAGTTTGACTCTACTCCCAGGTGACACATTCAGATGCATTGGTCTGATAAAATTGTTCGTAAGAAATAGAGATTAAAATATGAAAAGAATCATGTGAGTAAGTAGATGTTAAGTCCAAAACAAAGTAAATTTTTTCCTATTGATTTTATTGTTGTATTTAGTAAAACCATAGCTCAGCATGTAAAATGGTTTGCTTTTTATGCTTCTGTTTATCTTGGTGTTTCTGGAAAAATGGAAACATCCTGCAATTCAAATATGCAGTACAATAATTCACTCTATTCTGTACTGTTACATTCTGATGCTTCCCAATGGAATATTGTTCTGATGCTTCCCAATGGAATATTGTTCTGATGCAGGTTTAAGCTTATTGTGGCCTTGCAAAATATCAGTCCAAATGTATTTCAGAAAGTCTTCTGCTGACAATAACATAACTAACAGCTTATACTAACAAAAAAACCTCTTAGTTTGAAACCTATATTGTTTTTTCCATCTCAGTCTTAGCATTCTTGGAAGACTTAATTTTGCATTTAACAAAGTTATGTAAAGTAGTATGAACAATTTAGCCTGTTTGAATAAACAGGAACTTTCTCAGCTAGAGCAGGAGAGGAGAAAAGTAGTGTGAACAATTTAGCCTGTTTGAATAAACGGGAACTTTCTCAGCTAGAGCAGGAGAGGAGTCACATAGGTTAAAAACTACTACTCATATTTAGGAGGATAATGACTGCCATAACTATTACAAATACAATAAAAACTATTAATTCAAAGAGTTGACTTACGTTTCAAGTACAAATAGTGGGACCAGTTTCAAATGCCGTCAGGTGAGGACAACTATATGAACTTTTCCCTAGTTCAAGACTGACCATGGTCAAGTAGAAATTTAGTCATACTACCATATCTTCACTTGATACAACTTAATTTGGCTTGTAGCTATTTAAAGCCCTCCCCAAACCACAGGTGTTTTGATTTTAGCTGTTACGAATTGCTTGGAGTTCATTGAGAAACTGTAGTGGTTAACCTTTTATGCTGTAGGTGACACTTAAAATGTACACAAAATCACTTTTACTTAAGTCTGTCATCCCAATACAAACAAAGCCTCAAGTGATCCTACCTAAAAGCCTCCTTATGTTAGTGGTAATAAAAATATTTAGCCTCATAGAGTGAGGTATGTTCTACTATGAAGGACCTGCTATTTAGGTTAGCAGTGTCTAGGTTCAGCAAGTTCATAAAAGTTACTTCAATGCATGATCTGAAATAATTCTCAGCTTAACTTTCTTTCCTGTTTCCCATTTTCATTTTGCTCCTTACCTCAGTTTTCTCTACTTTCTCATTCTCTGATCTGAGCAAATCCCCTAACATTTAAAAACTTAAGTGTAGTGCTATCTCCATTAAGTTGTGCTCCAAATCCTTACCTGTTTTGTGCTGTTAGGAAAATGTAAATCTAGCTTGGGAATTCATGCTAGCAAGGCATAAGTTTGTTTTAACTTTGAGCATGTCGGCCAACCAACAGATAGTTTGGGTCCTAAGACCTTCAGACCTCTGACAGGAAATCAAACACACTTTATAGAGGGATAGGCAGAGAATTTGGTTTGTTGTTTTGGATTAGCTGCATGTCCTGACCTTTCACTGAGGACTTAAGCATTTGACAAAGTCATTGCTGTAGCATGCTGATGAAATCAGCTAATGTTGACTGTCCTCGATGAGTACATCTGCTGTACTTTGTCCAAGAATTGGAACAAATTCCTGTTAACATCGTTAGAAATAAGCGATTAACACCTTAATATCAGAAGAGGAATTATCAATGTGAAACATTTTCTTATGAAGCATAGGTCAAATGTGTAGCGGTATTCATTTCTCAGGACTATCTTCAATGCAGTGAGACACTGATGTTATTAAATAAACCTGCAGTTTTAGTTGTGTTAAATACAAGTGACAACTGGGGTATCATTTAAGGTATCTTAATGACTTGCTTAAAAAATTATCTGTACTGAAATTCTTATGTGTAATACTGAGGATTTCTCTTCAGCCACACTAAGCTCAGCAAGCAGCTGGGTGTGAGATAAAGCATTTGCCACTTTCTCTCAATAAACACAGACAAGTACCCGGTTGGAACAGCCATGTGGTTACACTAATTTAGCTGAGCTTGGTTGGAGCTGACGACAAGGTTCACAATTCGTGGATGGAATTCAAGTGGAATTCTATGTTGGAATGACGGACCCTGATTAATGCAGTGTTGTATTAGGCAAACTGAACTGTTTCTCTTCTGCAGCGTGTATTTTGTTGTACTCTTTCCTGAAGCCAATGAACCACATCAATGATTTTTATTTAAATTGCTATGTGATGTTCTTAACTGGTGCCATGCTGCTTTAGAAGTCATTTACAACAGTATGCTCATGATTATATAGTTTTCTGAAATGGCTTCATTTGATTTCATGATGAAGTTAGTCACTTGAGTCAGGTTTGAATCTCCTGTTGCTCCAACAGAAGGGGATGTTATAACTATCTGAACAGGAATGTATTTCTAAAGCCTGAAAAAGTACAGGATAACTTACAGTCGTTGATGTGACTGATTTCACTCTTCTAATAGTAATCCATAGAGTGCGTCTTGCATCCAGGTGATATTCTGCGGAGGCAGGAGTTTTAGCGCTAATAACAAATGGTGAGGGTTGCTAATGGCATTTTTAAGCCCTCTATCTGTGAGTCTAGGAATGATGAAAGGAGTATCTTTATCATGGAATGTTTGAAGTAGTTTGCAGCTTCCTCCAATTCTCAGTATTTACAGTTTTTATACACTACAGATAGCTCATGAAATAAAGTAGACCTGGTCACAACAAGCAGGGATTGCAATGATCTAGTAACTGTTGAGGTGATAGCAAAGACTATTCCTGAAAATGTTGGGCCCTCAGGAAGGCAAAAGTGAGATTCAGAAGTGGAAACTTAAAGGAAGATGAAAGATGCACATTGTTGCGATACTAACAACCAAGAAGGCAAGAAAAGTTTTGGAGAAAAAGTCATCTGCACATTTGGTATAAACATCTGTTCTATAGTTCTTTCTGTCAAATCACCAACCCTTTAAAGACGAATCTAATAAACTACTTAAAGTTCTTATAGACAAAAATACTTGTCCAAAATTGCTTGCTTCAAGTATTTTGATGTAGCTGGTACTTAGCCTTGTATATATAGCCAGTAACTTCCCCTGGCTAATAAGTTTCTTAGACAGTTCCTTCTTACTGGTTTGACCAGAACTGTTCAGTCTTAAATAATTCAGTGCTTACTTTCTGCACAAGCCTGTTCAGTAGGAAAACACTAGTTACTGAATGTGTCAGAGAATCCAGTTTTGGCTGCCATCTTTCAAAACATAACCAAGAAGGTCACAAAGGGATTCTAAAATTCATTCAGGCACTAGAAAAGTGGGAAGCTGGACCCATGCCTTCAGGATGGAGCCCTGATGACCGTTCCATAGCCTATTTGGGGATGTGGAGAGATCTGGTCTTTCCGTTGAAGATGCCTGTTGTAGCTGAGAATTTACATATGGAAAAACCATGTCTGGTCTATGGCAGGCATAAGAGAAAAAGAGTGCCCGTCAGCTTCCAGCTCCAAATATGCTTTAGGCAGTTCTCTTAAATACAGAATGCACCAACTAGTCCTTTTAACAGAAACTAGAATTTCAGTGCAGCCTTAGCTTGACCCACAGAGAGCAATTGCTGCTTCTGCTTGTAATGAAAACTTATTGCATTAACCTACTTGTACAATGCTTATAATTTCTGTGGCAAGTTAGAAAAAAGAAATTACAGCTGTTTCAGAAGCCATAATGTAACACATCACTGCCATTTGTCCAGGCATAACTGGTAAATCTAACTATAATAATAAAGGCAAGGAGGCCACCTTGTGATGGCTGTGATTTTGTGCACTTAATCTTATCCATAGAACTGGATTATGTAGTTTTTAATTATGGCAAATGTAGAATACAACCATCCGAACTGAAAGGAAATGAAGTTATGCTGCTCATGGGGAGTACACTGAGATGTGAAAAGTTGCAGCAGCATGTGAATTACAGGATGTAGTTAGACCTGAATAAAATATCCACCATGTCAGGTCTTCTGGAGTGTCCTTGAGCACCATGCACTACTTTTGTATGAAACAAGTGCTCCTAACCCTTCTTGTTCCCCCTCCTCAAACTGCACATCCACATTATTTAGGGCCCAGTTATTTATGGCTACTGTTTGCAGCATTCTGGAGGAAGAGTTCATTGAAGTCTCCTCACTCTGTTTGACCCAAGCATCAGGGATTCCCTGCTTCTAATCCTACTATAGATATAGATATAGTCAGACTATCTAGGGCTCTGCGTGCAAAACAGGCAGCAATTTGGACAAAGTACCAGCACAGACAAACTTATGATAGCTATAAATTTATGTCATGAAGAAATCAGAAAGGAGGCTTCTATTCTCCTTGCTAAACCCTGACCCAAAGTTGTAGCTGAGAAATGAGTGGGCGAACAATGTGTCTTTAGCTCGTTGTCACAGGTCTTCATGCTAGATAAATATTTGTTGTAACGTATCCTTGCAATGACTAGCAGTATGCCTGCCTAACGTGACAATTGGTACATTTGCAAGTGTTATACACCTTGATATTTTAATCTTTATTTATGCAGGGACTCAAACCAATAGTTTCCACTGAATCCCCAGCTCTGATTTTTGGGACAACAACTAAACTTGCTTCAGATTTACCAGCAACTGATTCTTTCTTGGGTAAAAACAAGGTGCCAGACCTGCAGAAACTTTTTCAGGTAATGACAACTTTGAGAGTAACTTAAAGCAAACTGGAGAGTGGGACATATCTTTCCTTATTTTAATGTGGCTAGCTACTTCTGTCATTCTACAATACCAAAATTTTGTAAAGTCTAGTTAAAAAAAAGTGTCAAGTACAGTATAACCTGTATACTTGTACTATACTACAAGGTATATATGCCTTGTATAGGAGATAAATACAGAAAGTGAGAAGTTTAGTAAAATTGTCTGTCTTTTTTCACTGGCTTCAGAAGATGCTTATTGTATTATTTGACCACTGGAAGCACTTTTTGTCTGGGAATCCAAGCATATGCCTTAAAGCAGATCTGGAGGAGCAAAGCAGATCATTACTGTTTTGTGTGTAATAATTTGGATGTTACTGAAGCTGTTTATAACGCGGTATAAGAAGACCACAGTAAAGTTTTCAAAGCCAGTTTGTTAGCTATGCAATTTCTGAGCGTATTAGGACTTTTCATAAAGGAAATCAGTTAAGCATTTATTTAAAAAAAATCAAGAATGTGCTTTATATAATGTTCCCTTTTCTCTCTTACATGCCACTTGCATTTGGAATGTGTCAGTCTGACTTGGTGAATAATTTTTTATGCATATCTTTTCACGTTCTTTTGTTAGTGACACTTTTCCCATCCAGGTCCTCTTTAGAAACATTTCAAGATGTATTCTTTCTGCCTGCATTTAACAGCTTTGGCTAATAAAATTAACTTGCCTTTGCATTTGTCTTGCTAAATGAAAAACATGTAATACATGTGATTGTAGATAGCCTATTTGTCAGGAAATTTGCCTCATGGAAGTCTCTTAATTTACCTGAGGTAGCTTGTTCCTTATGGCCTTTGTATGGGTGTTAATTTCTTTTTTGTTTTCTTTTTAAACTCTTCCCACAGAAAGCAGATGGACTGCCAGTACACCTGAAACGAGGAGTTCCAGATAAGCTGCTTTATCGGACCACTATGGCTCTAACAATAGGCGGGACTATCTACTGTCTAGTAGCACTGTACATGGCCTCACAACCAAGAAACCAAAAGTAAATGAACAACAACTTGTGGGACTCTTGACATTTCTCTGAAGGACCTCCTGCATATATCTCTCTGCACTTGCTTTAAATCTGTGATCATATAGGGTTCATTATTGAGATAAAATTTCTTGGAGAAAATGTTTTTAAATTGGTTTCATTATGTGTTCTAGAAATCAGTATAAACAGACTTAAAGACATCATTTTAACATATGGCTGTAGCTTTGCATTTGTTGTCTTGCAGGAGTGTATGAACAGTTGGAGAAAGTTAAGTTTTTCCTTCCTTCCCTCCCCCAACTGAAACAATATTAGAGACAAGACAGGACAAATACTTTGTGGGCTATGCTCCACATTCCTTAGTGGGAGGATGTTGCTGGTTTCCAAAACAGTAAAAGCAAATAATTTAATTATTATAACATACTGGGAACCTGTCATACACAGCTCATTTTACATAAGCAGGTGGCAGTAGAACTTTTCCAAATGCTGGCATGTTATTAAATATTTGTACCTCTGGTGGTAGGACAAAGGGCTTATCTCCTTGGAGCATATGAAGTGGATTTATTCCATAATGTTAGCATCACTGTATGCAGCAGAGTGCACCAGTATTGTAGCATCAGTTACACCAGTTTTTGGACTTTCATTTGTCAAACAATCTTACTGTGCAATAAAGATAACTACATGAATAATAAAACAGGCAAGTCTTGAAAGTTTCAGACCACTTCACCGGGCCTGGTAGTGAAATAAACATACTGGTACACTTTTGTTTAAGTTCAACATGTAGATCTCAAACTAGACAACTGATTCAGCTACCTTACTGTAGTCTTTTTGAGATGGTAATCCTCTTAAAACCCTCTCTCAAAACTCATTGGGTGTTTAACTATAATTTTTGGTGAAACAGGTCACTGTCATAGCTCAGCTGCATATTATTTTCAGTGCATGCACATTATCTATTTATGCACACACATACACACGCATTTCCTTTGCTGAATAGGTAGAAGAGAGAGAAGCCAGTAAAATTCGCTTTCCCTTGTAATATCATATCCTTGAACTGCAAGTTTCACACAAGTGGCAAAAAAAGCATCCTCTCACAAAATCATCCTCTAATTTGACAGATCCTCTTCTGTTTATGAACATCATAACAGCCTCGGTCACCCAGGCTCAGGATAAGCATGGATTCACTAGCCTCTGTAAAGACCCATCTCTTTCAGAATTGTGCAGAAACCACCTTCCGTGTAAATAAGGAAAACAGTTGATCATGGAACCTAAAGTTCCCATTTCTTCAATCTTTTATAAAAACATTGATTATTTTTTTTTTTCTAGTCAAGTTATATCAAAGCCTTATTACTGTTCCATAGGAAAGAAAATAGCTGCTTGTACTGTGATCTCAGGTTTCAGTCAATGTTGGTATTTCAGGATGGGAGAGATTAAGTCACTGAAAAAGAAGTTTTTACAAACACAAAGACTCAAGGAATAGCAGAGAATAATTAAGTTCTCCGGGAATTGACAGCTATGTTGCCTCTACTGATAAAATATTTTATCCTCAGTAGCCCATACTTCAATGGCAGTAAGAATATTGTGCTGTAGGCTGTTAAATCCTATTAAAAAAAAAAGGGCAAGAAAAGAGAGAAAGAGAAAGCAGCGTGGTAGGTTGTTCTCTGTCTTCCCTGCATATCATATATTAAGCACTGCCTACAAGAATCTTCTAATAAAGTATACTCTGCATCAAACTTGACAGATTTTCATGAGGATGAGTTTTGCTCAGAGAATTTCTATGCTCTTAGGTTTTGGGGGGGCTTTTGTTTGTTTTGAGGTTTTTTTGGTTTTTTTAGAAAACTTTTTATAGTTCACGTGGAGGCTAGTAACTTTCTACTTGTTGCTGATGCAGGTGTGGATAAAGAACTAAACTATTATTTCATAGTTTATTAACCAGTGCTGATACTTTTCCAAGTACTTGTGAAAAGAATGACGAGACTCATCACTCAGCTCCAGCTTTCTTAAAGGGAATTCAACTAGGAGACTGGGTTCCTGTATTGCTGTAGAGGTCATGGGTGGAGGTATGGACATTAGAATTGTCTTCCTGTTGCCCTGGGTCTAGCTTTTTTCAGCTCTTTGTCAGCAGCTAAAAACACATGTGCTAAAGCGAAAACACCATCAAATTTTGCAAATAACCAAATACTAGATAATCCATTGCCCTTTTTTTTTTTTGCAGTGTTTGGATTTTGAAAAACTATTGTCACTTTGCCCTTCTCAAAAAAGCTGACCCAGTTGAAGCAGGATGAGAGTGCTGCTTCAGATTGCTGGATTGACACCCTGGTTCAGTTGGAGGTTAAAGAACAAAGAGGCATTGCTTGTCTGCAGCTTTTGGGCAGGGCTCCAGTCATGAGGGAAAGGAGACTGCGTCTCTATATTCCCAGAGCAAAGTGCTCTGAAGAACAGGAAAGTCTGCAAGCTGTAACCAGGTTAGGCTGCAGCAGCAAAATCTTGCCCCTTTTCTCGATTAGTTTTGAGATCATCATAAAGAAATTACAACATGGTAAATCCTTTTTCTTCCTAGAAAAAAGCTCTGTTCAATATCTATTTAAAAATATTTCTGATGCTGGACTTCGATGGGGGTTCAAGACGGTTTAAGTGTTTTGAATTTTTGTTTGTGATAGAGAGACCTAATCTTATTCCTAAGCTTTCAAGAACACCCTTACCTTTAAAAGGAGTAGTCTGTCCCTGGCCTGACGTTAAATAAGGTCTTAAGTAAGCAGAACCAGGAGTGAAGTAAAGAGAACCAGGAGTGAATTGCAGCACCAAGAAGGCTACTTCAGTATTTTGAGTTGTCGTTTCCAGAAGTAAGAATCAATCTGTCTTGAGTACTACAACTTCGTTACATGTGTGTTATGTTCTGGGTTTGGTTTTGGTTTGGTTTTTTTTGTTTTTTTTTTCCTCCCTCCTCTCCCCAAAAAGACCCTCTCAGTTTTGTCTTGGAAATTATGCAACCTACCAGCACCAAGAACTGAGAAACAAGAGCATTTTTACTTGATAGTGATACTCTAGTGTTTTGGCTTGAATGCACAGTAGAGAATAAATTATAATAAGCCCTCATACCCCAAGATACTGGGTTTGGAAGGGAAAGCAGCTGAGACTTACTATACTTGGGAACAAAATTATCTCATGGATAATCATCCATGCCCCATGGCATTATCTTCTTGTTGAGAGACAGTGGTTTTCCTTCTTAAATGATCTCTGTGGAAACCTGAATTCAATAGTTACATCTTTGTAGTGGTTTTTAAATAAGATCTCCCTCCCTACTTTTTATGTGGGAATAGTAGAGTAAATGCACTTGAGAAGATGTTGATAGTATGCACGGTTGTCTTTCAAAAATAAAAGTATGCTGAGGAGAGGATTCTTCCACAGTATTTCAGTGTGACCATAGCATCTCAACAAGCTTTTGCCTTGACATTTGAAATTGTCAACAGACTGATTATTTCAATACTAAGACATTAGTTAATTGATCTTGCCTTAAAGTAAAGCTTGTCAAAGTAAAAGGCACTGTAAGGAACAAAGCAAGAGAAACGAGGAAAATGGGAATCTAATCTTACGTACATCAAAAAGCTGAAGAGAGTGTGTAAGAGCTGTTTCCTCACATGTACATACATAGTACTTACTCCCTCTTTACCCTCCTTCCTCCAAATTCAAGCCTTCCAAGAGGCTTCAGAAGAGTCAGAGATCAGTTTTTTCCACTCCTATCACAGACCATTACCCTTGCAGATCTTAAAATTTGAAATTTACACAAAGAGAAAAACGTGCATGTATTGGATAAGTTACATGTGAAATCATGCTAAATTGTTCTTAAAAAAAAAGTTATAAGCTACTGCATTTTATGACAAAGTATACTAACTTTTTTCCCTTTCCAGCTCTTAACGTCAGTGAAAAGTTTCACAGGAAGCCAAAGTTTGATCTCTATTTTAAAATGGAAAGTAGGAAGAACTTGACTGTAGTCATTTTAGCAATAGGCATGAAAAACAACCTTTTAAGTATTTTGTGGATTCAGTACTAATTGCATCTTAGTTTATTTATTAAAGATTTGAATCAATTCCAGTTAGCTGCAGTGCAAATGATGCACAGATTGCTGAGAAGCAGAAGCATATTTGCTGTGAGAAGGAGTGCAGGCATGCCTGTGGATCTGTGGATGAGGAAATAGGGTATACGCTATCGGTATCAGTATGGCATCTCACTAGTAGCAGATCTTATCTCCTGGTGCTTCTTATATGATCCCAGGCTGCTTTTGGGTATGGCAGTAGACAGAAGGAACCATTTTATTTGTACATTCATTATCTCAAAGTACCAGAAAGTTAAATTCAAGTGTCTGTGTCCGTCCCCGTCCCCCCCAGTCTGTTGCAGGCAGCCTAATATCTAGCCTACAGGAAGGCATCCATCATCTGGCTCCAGAGACAGGTGATACTCCATGCTAAAACATTTTTCTGAATTACTTTGCCCAGCAGATCCAGTGCTGCAAAACTAGGGGGAGTGGGAGGGAGTGCCTCACCTCACATCAGCTGAATACCACCATCACTTTTCTCTGTTCCTCACTCCCACATTTTTATTCTTAAAGACCATGAAGTGTTTTCTAGTTTACTTCATTTTTTGCACAACATTTTAAAAATATTTTGTGCCACAAAAGGAATGAAATTTTTTCTAAGTGCTTCAAGAGAACTTCTGAAATATTCATATTGGCAGGTATACATTTGTCACAAGTATTTTTTCTCTGCAAGTTGGAACAAGCTCTGGAAGTCTCCTTTGTGAAGTATGTGATCCTCTCAACCCAGCAGCTTTCATCTGCTCCAGGTACACGGGTGAACCCCTTACTACAGTGACAAGTCTTTAAAGAAGCTGTTCTACAGGTGTGCAAGTGTAGGGGCATCAAATGACTTGCTGCTTCCAAGCACCCGACTGTATTTCAAAGAAATACAGGAAATACTTCATCCCTGCAACAGTCTTACACTTGGAGCCGTGTTACCTCGTATGTATATTGTACCCATTTTTATATCTTCCTTGCAATTCAGTCACACACATTAGTCTTGCTATTAATTGCTTTATCTGTTTATAGTGTGGTGCTACCTCAAACATCTTGGATTCCTTTTCTGATTTAATCACTGAACCCTAATTTTGAGCACCTAAAATTTGAAATCTAGGCATTACTTATAATGTGCATCTGTTACAAAACTTTCACTTGAAGCATAGAGCAGAGACAGCTAACAGCATCTGTCGCAAAGTTCAGTACAACCTGCCACCGTAAACCAGATGTCCTTCCAACCACACAAAGCTAT